CTTATTTGCATCTGTTTCATGTAGTGTAGCACATCTCGATGTATCTGGCCAATTGGCCACTTATCCTTTACAACAACATAGAAAATCAATCAAGACAGTTATGCCGTTACTCGCTGGTAGCCACGCTGTCGCCCTGACAAGTTTCCAACACAAGGTCGTATCACAGGTGGGTCATACGAGTTCTGGGCCCATAATCTTCGGCGATAAGTGGAGATTGGATTGAGCTATGCCATCGGCTTCAGCCCAGATCGAGGTTGAGAAACCGCTTCTCAGGGGTTGAATGTCAAGGTCATTGATTCAGTAAGGATAATTGAAAGTATCTGCGGATCAACATGTCAACAGATTCACAGAATACCGCCCCTCCAACACCAAATCTGCAGTCACTTTCTCCCTCGAACGATCGCCTACGATGACTTCAAGCGATGATGCTGTGTGGGACTGACTTGCATTATCTGCTCCCCAGCCAGAGTCTTCATCCAAAGGTCGAAGCCAAGTCTTGTACGGGACTGTTTCGTAGTATTCAGTTCCCTCAAATCAAACTTGAGAAGACATTTCAATGCGCACTTCATGTAGGTAAGGGCGGCAGCCTGAAATCCGGAGGAGCTTGCTGCTTGGAAGCCCGGAACACCATCAGTGCCTGGAATTATGATGCCATGTCACTTTTCGCAAGTAGACGCAGAAAGCGGACCCTGCGCATCCGGTGCGGAAGACGATCCATATTCGTCTCCTAAAGCCTAGCTGCAGATCCACAGCCTGCAGACTCAGTAGCTACCAACACCAGTCGATGCGCCCGGGGAACCCTCAGAGTATCATCCAGGCAAGCGGTCCAGTGGGCTGACTTCTTGGCATTGAATGCGAAATTTGAACAACTCACTGATGGTATACTAGGGTAGGTAGGGCTCGCGTCTTCGTATAAAAGCCCGGGCTTCCTCAAGAGTCCTATTTTCTGTTGGCCATCGCGATTCTTCCACGTGGTCTGACTTCACCAGGATCCCCTCTCAATTCGCATATCTCGTCGGGAGCCGAGTGTGGGAGTCACAATGCTGTCCAATGTTTGGGATTATATCATCGTCGGCGGTGGCCTCACCGGCTCAGTCATCTCAAGCCGGATGCTGGAATACAACAGCTCTTTGAGTATCCTGCTCATCGAAGCCGGCGAAGATACTCGAGTTCGAACGGACATCTTATACACCAATGCCACTAATCTCATGGGTGGGGAGCTTGACTGGCAGTACCCGACCGAATCAGTCGCAGCACTAAATAACCGCACTCTTGTGTTCAATCAAGGCAAGGGCCTCGGCGGCGACGAGCGTTGGAGCTATGAAAACCAGTTGCCTTACATGAAAAAGGCCGAAGACTGGTTCAACAGCAACAACGCCGCCCAGCACGGTAACGGTGGACCTCTTCACGTGGCTTCTGTCTCTTCGACCGGTCGTGCGTACCCTTTGCGTGATGTTGTTGCCAGCGGCTGGGACGAACTTGGAGTTTCTGAGCTCCCAGACCTCGACAGCAATGCGGGCGACAACATCGGGCGCGCTGAGCTGACCGAGACCCGTCGCCATGGCATTCGTCAACTGACCCCTGTGGTGAATCCTCTCGACGGTATCGAGGTTCTCACCGAGACGCTTGTTGAGAAGATCCTGCTTTCCAGTGGTGTTGACAATGGAGAGCTGCAAGCTACTGGCGTCCAGCTTGCCAATGGCACCCAGATTTTCGCCAACAACGTTATCTCAGCCGCTGGTGCCTATCGCTCTCCGCAACTCCTCATGTTGTCTGGTATCGGTGAAGCGGCAGCATTAGAGAAGCACAATATCAGCGTGAAATTAGATCTCCCCGAGGTCGGTAAAAACCTGATTGACCACATGTCGTTCTACCAATATTGGAAGCTCAGAAGCCCGGAGAATGGTTACGCACTCGGATCCAGTAACCCAATTTTTAGTCAGCCCGAATTCAGCACGGGGTACCCTATTGATTGGGTGACATCAACGGGGGTGGATAAGACTGGTCTTGCTTCTGCCATCGAGAAGGATGAAGGAGTTGCCCCAGACGCTGGATCTCACTCTCTGCTCAAGGCCAACCGCACCTTCCTCGAGAACTTCGTCATTTACCAGGCCTACAGTGCCTCCAATCCCTCTGTTCCGATGGACGGTTCGCATATTTACACCAACATTGTCTCGTTTCTGCCTACATCTCGCGGGACAGTCAGTCTTGCATCCGCTGATCCTGCAGATAGTCCCGTCATCAACCTTAACTATCTCGACACGGAGGTCGATCGTCATGTCTACCGGGAGGGCATCCGTCAGATGACGAAGCTGATGCTAGATACTGCCTTCGGCAAAGAGTACATTGTTGGAGAAACTGCTCCTGACAACACCGAGTCAGTCTCGCTGGAAGACACTGACGAGTACCTTGACTACCGTTTGGCCGAAAGCGGCGTTACTACATGGCATCCCCACGGAACCTGTGCGATGGGCAGTGTTGTCGACTCCAATTTCAAGGTCAAGGGCGTGAAAGGCTTCTTACCCGTCCCCATTGCGGCTCATTTGATGGCACCTTTGTACGCCATGGTGGAACAGGCTGCTTCTGTTATTATTGGCACTTAACGAGAAACACGGGAAGAAGTTGACGTCATCCAAAACAGATGTAATAGTATTCAACAGATGTCAAAGCAGTATTCCAAAATTTAGAATTAATAAACTATCATTGGCGTCAAAAACACTAGAAACTAGCGCGACGTCTTCTGCGCTTCTCCTGCGTAGCCTCAAACTCCTCCTTAATCTGGCCCAAAAGACCGTCAACAGTCAGCACATCAACGGCAACACCAGCAATACCCTTTGCAACCATGATAGCCTTGTCAAACGCCGCTCTGCTACCAGCAGCAACCTCAAAAGCCGCAGTGTGGGGACCGCCATCAGGCACACTTCCGTTCTCGTTAGTGATGCCGAAGAACGGGCTGATACTAGGGAAGTCATGGCTCAGGTTTCCCTGGTCAGTGCTTCCAGTGGGCTCACGCAGCTTGTCGACTTCGGCATCAGGAACCTCGCCGCCAAGCTCAGTGAAGTACTTGGAATACGAGCTCGCCAAGAGGTCGTTGCTGACCATGTTGTCGTAGCCGTACGGCCTCATGGTCAGATTCAGCTCGGCGCCAGTCGCCAGAGCGCCGGCCTCGAAGCACTTCATCACGCGATCGGTCCACTCCTCTAGAGCCACGTTGTCTGCGGAACGGATCTGGAAGGAGGCTTCCGCAAGGGCGGGGATGACATTGATTCGAGAGCCAGCAGAGCTGATAATGCCGTGGATCTTGTCGGTGGACCGCGTCTGCTGGCGGAGGAGGGCAATGGCGTTGTTTGCGACAATGAGGGCGTCTTGGGCGTTGATACCCTCCCAAGGGGAGGCAGCAGCGTGAGCCTCCTTGCCGTAATACTCAACTTCGAAACGGTCGGTGGAGGTGGTGATCATGTAAGGGGAATCGCCGCCGTTGGTCGGGTGAGTAATGAGGGAAATATCGATATTGTGATCAGTGAAGGCACCGGCTTCGTGAAGCTTGACCTTGCCGCCGAGACCTGAGAATTTTCAGCTTCGTATCCAGATTTCGACTTTCCAAAATGCATCTTACTCTCTTCAGCGGGCGTTCCGAACAGAATGACCTTTCCAGGGAGGCTCTCAGCACGCATGATCTCAGCGGTGGCAAGCGCACCACCGACGGATGCAGTCGCGATCAGGTTATGGCCGCACGCATGGCCGAGACCAGGAAGAGCATCTAAGCCGAGGGTCAGCATAATCCTGATGATCATTGTTCCAATTGAGTGCCCACGTACCATATTCGGCATTGAAAGACACAATAGGACCATCTCCGCTTCCCTCGAAGACAGCTACGAAGGCAGTGCTGATGTTGTAGATGGACCTGGTCACGTTCCATCCCTCATGAGCCTCCATGAAATCGGTCAGGAGTTTATGCGCTTCCACCTCCTCATATCCAAGCTCCGGATTGTCGTGGATCTCCTGGTTGATTGGCCACAACTCATCGACAATGGAGTCGACATAGTCGGAGATGGACTGAAAGTACGGGCTGATGTCGGGGCTCGAGCTGTTAGACTGGCGGGGCAGGACAGAAGATGCTACTGCCGAGCTCGCGCCAAGAGCCAAGATGAGCTTGCTTGAAAGACCTCTGATACCCATGCTGTCTGACTTGACGATGACGTCCTATGTGTTCTTGAAGACAGAGCTTGACGGAAGGACTTCAAAACCAAGTCAGACATGGTAGACGGTCGCCTCTTTATACAGCATTTCCCATCCAGACTCGATGTCTAATCAATAAATGTCATGCTTATCTTCTCCTCCAAAATACCGCCTGGGCAGACGTGTAATACCGCCGATGAGCGGATGACGAGCCTCATGGCCCTCATTCTAAAATCTTGGCCCTCGTGGCCTTGAACCGCTCGTCGGCTCTTCATCGATCGTTTCAATTCGTTGTTTATCCCAATGGTGGGTAGTGCGGGGAAGTGTCAAACTGCTCTGCCAGTCAAATGTGCGACAGAAACCCAGTGTCGCGGCCCTGTTTACTTGAACGGATGACTGCCAAGAACCCAGCCAGCAGTTTTGATGCTATCCCCACTTGCAACCGGGGCCGAGGGACTTGGCGGTAGAGATAGGTATTTATTCCCTTGCACCACTGCCGCCGACATCTGTCCCGACATTCTTGGCTCCGGGAACTTGGTAGACACCGACCGGAATACTCCATGCCAAAGAAACAAAAGCAGCCGATGTGGGTAGCTTGCCGTGGACAAATCTCCCCACTATGCTCCTGTCCCCCTCCGCACCGCCATGGGGAAATGCTGGGAACGGGGTCGACCCTGGCGAGTAAGCTTAAAAAAATAGCCGATCGTCTGTTCTTTTGCCGACGGCTTATCTGGAGTCTAAACGCAATTACTAAAATCAAGTCGGTCTTTGATTACACCTTTGGCGGTTCTCTCCAGCCAAGCAATTCAGTCAAGAACAGTAAAATTTCAACGGCTTGACATCATTGATTGCATTCAGACGAGTGCAGCATTTAATGCACATAACGGAAACTGACAACCCCCTCCCCGCCGTGTCCAGCCTTTGAGCCCGAGATATGATTGTGGCTCACATTGCCAGCCCTTTCTTCCTCCTCGAACTTGGCATTCTGCTTCTTCAAATAGTACTTGATAAACAACGCCGTGCCTGCACAGACCAAGCAAGCACCAGACATGACTCCGCCGCCAGCGTAGTATCGAGGCTTCTGGCTATCCGGAAACATGTAGCTGGTGTAGAAGTGTGCAACACCGGCGGCCATGAAGTTTACGATGGCAAGTGCAGCAGCACGCTTGGCTCGTGGACGAGGGAGAGACGCGGATAGCCAGCTGACACACAGGTTGTAGGGTGCATATGAGCCAGCAGTCATGAGGAACATGGAGAAGTAGCGTCCACCTAATGAGTTGACGAACATTGCCTGTTTACAGTTAGCTCAACTGTCTCCACAGAAGATAAACGGAAATTTTGGAAACGGAAACATACCAAGATGTTGCCGAGGAGGGCAAACACCATCGGGATCGCGATGTGGTATCCACGCTCATCCTTGTGTGCAGCATGGAAAGAAACGCAGAGAGACACAAGGAAGGCGAAGAAGTAAGGCGGCGAAGTGAGAAGAAGCGTCGTTGTGCGGCCATAGCCAAGGGTTCCGACAATGGAAGGAAAGAAGTTGTTGAACGACTGGGCTGTGATGAGAGCCATTTGTTGGATAATGAAGAGGTAAAGCTTGGGGTCAATGAGGGCTTGCTTAAGACCCCAGAAGATGGACTCTGGGTCCTCGTCGATGATACCTGCGTTCTCCTTTCGAATTCTCCACTCCTATTATTTCGAGGTCAGTCGAGAAAGATGCATGATGAGATAGAACGATGACTTACGGCGTACAACTGCTGGTCGCGGGAGATGAAGAGGTGTTTGCTCTGCAGTGGGTAATCTGTGAGAAGAGGCAGAAGCAACAACGCAATGACTACGGTCATGGCGCCCTCAATGATAAACAACCATTCCTGAATAACATTAGTATGAGACGTTCTTCGAATACCTATAGTAGAAGACTTACCCATGCGGGCTTTCCAGCTTTGCCTTCCATCCTCGAGATGATTCCAGCTGCGATAAGCCCAGAGAATGCAGTCGCAACCATGTTGCCGCCGTACAGGATTGCGATTCTCGGCGGTAGCTCTTTGCGAGTGTACCAGCATGACATCAGGACAAACACAGCCGGAAGGAATGGGGCCTCTACCAGTCCCAAAATGAAACGAACTGCGGCAAGCTCCGAGAAGTTCTTCACGAATCCTTGGCTCATAGACAGAATGCCCCAGAGCGACGTGATGAGACAGATGTAAAGTGATGGTCGGACCTTTCCAATGATAAGATTTGAGGGAACCTGAGTAATGCAGTCTGAGAAACGTCAGCCGTCAGATCAAGAAATAGTGACTAGAAGTGCCATACACCCGACGTAGAACATGAGAAGACAAGTGTTGTATTCGTTGTTGGTCATGTTCAGGGTATCTGTGATTCCTGCGATCTTGGCACTGGCGATGTTATTTCTGTCCCTGATCAAGAAGTCAGTACCAAAGTCTTCGTTTCCAGGTTACATCACTAACAGAATATTTAACAGGAACAGAATGAAGACGGTGGGCATAAGGGTTAAATCCAGCCGCCGCGTCAAGCTCCTATCCAGTAGCCTCAGCTCGTCGCCACCAAGGTGTTCCAACTCTTGCGGGAGCGGCAGCTCGTCAGGCTGGAGAGCGCGACGCTTCTCAGCGTGCTCGGCCTCGTACTTCTGCTCTTGAATCGCGTCTGCCATTTTGGTGATCGGATTCGGGTTGTATCCAGCAAAGTCTGGTTCACCTGCTCCGTCTGAAAGACGAAACATGTTCACAGCCCCAGCGTATTTAACAGAAGGCCCAAACAGCTTGGGGAGATTCATAAACATGACAAGGATTGGGCGAGTTCCGGCGAGAACGCCGGTGGATTACATCGAACCGTGGGGGCTTCCCCATGTTGGGGCCCCAGATTCTTGGCTTGCGGGGAAAGAACGGGTCGCGGGCACTGAATCCCCTTGAAGTAGCCTCCCGGGAGAGGCAGCCGATCATCGGTGAGAATGCCGATGGCTACAAATTGGCAGGTTGATGACCAGATTTGGAGAAGTGATCGAATGATCTGCTTTTCCGTCTACACGAGACTTTTATTCGGAAAAGAGCCGATGAAACGGTCGGCACTTAGCTTGTGTTGCGCCTTTTGGTCCTTCATCCAATGGCAGATAGCTGCAGATGTACGACACCGTGGTAACTTTGCCATCCAATATTACAAATTAGAGAGGAGTCGATGCCCCATCATTGATGCGAATTGAAGCAACATAGAGCCTCGAGAGCGTCTTTCATCGGCAGCTTTACTGGTGTTGGAATCATGCCGGTCTATTCGAGTTTAACGCTGAAGTCTTCTACTTAGAGGCAGACTCAAATGCCTTCCTGTTGACTGGAGTCAACGGCTCGCCAACGAAATCACCGTTTGCCCCTACAACTTCAACAATATTCTTCATAGCATTCAGCTCGAAGTTCATCCTTGTCGTCAAGGCTGCACCACCATTATGGCATGTCAATGTCACATTATCCATGTCCGCAAGCACCTTTGAAACCTGCGGCTCGAGGTAGTGTACGTCCAGCGCGGCAGCCGACAACTTTCCACTCTGCAAGGCCTCAATAAGCGCATCTTCCTGTACTAGCTGCCCACGTGCCGTGTTGACTAGTCTCGCACCATCCTTCATCGCTGAAAATGTCTCGCGGTTGAACAGATCTTGGGTATGCGCGTTCAGCGGGGTATGCAACGTAACACAATCCGATACGGCCAACAGCTCATGCAAGTTGGAATGGAAAGTCGCTTCCAGCTCCTTTTCAACTTCGGGCGGCGAGCGGACGACGTCAAAGTAGTGAATTTTCATTCCAAGGGCGGTGCGAGCCTTGTAGGCGAGCTTCTTGCTGATGTTACCCAAGCCCACGATACCGAGGACATGGTCACGAGGGTTCCATGAGATACTCCCAACCAATTTATGCATGGCTGTGAACTGCTCTGGGTCACATGTTCTCGCTGCCCGCTGCGCCCGCCAGAAGTTGCGGAATACCGAGAGAATCATGAAGAGCGCTGTGTCTGAGACGGCTTCGTCGCTGGCACCGGCACCGTTGGCGTACCAGACACCCCGGCGGCCAAGCGCGTCGACGTCCGCCCAGTTGAACCCTGCACCGGCGGAAGCGAATATGCGTACCGACGGTGGCAGAAGGGGAATCAGTTCGTCGTCCCATTGGCCCATCTCACCGCCCGTTTGGAAGTGTGGACGGAAGATCGCTGAGAAATCTCCATACTTCTTTGACTTCAAGGCTTCGATGAAGGATGCCCGGTCGGGTTCTTCGTTCGCCACGACATCGAATCGCTCTGTGAAGGCGTTCTTGTAGTAGTCGTGATTGTACTTGATGTCCTCGCCAAGCCGCAGGACGATGGGTTTCTTCCCCGCCATGTTGGAGTATTTGGAGATGTTGAATACAGGGATTGGAATTGACGACAATTGGGATAAGAGCCGGGCCATAAACTTGGGTAACTCGTCCTCTGAAGGTGTGGCTGGTCAAGGAAGTATCCAAACGAGAAGTCGGTAACTTTAAGTGCTCATTTTATCCGCTTGTATTGCGTGCTATGTGGATCATGTTCACGCATGCTAAGGTGATGTTGTTGGTAAGGCGGCAGTTCCCCGCTCCTGGACTGCTCCGTGTTGTTTCCATGCGGGAAGATGCGTCGGTGAGAAAGCCGACGTCTTCTACCCCCAACTTTCGGAAGTTGTCCGACCAGAAGATGCATTATGAAATACGATGCCGCCACAAATTGGTCACCAGATCGTAAACCAAACTCTTCCGGCTACAGCCTGCTCTCTCTATGACGGCCGGTCGTGAGCGTTTCCGCATCGGCGCCGACGTGACCCAGTTGCTGGCCCCAGCTCCGTAGCCCGCTACATCAGGGGTGACTGAATCAATATTTTTGACGTGTGTACGTCCTGCTTGCAGAGTACTCATACATAGTGACAACCAACGGCAAGAACCGCAATATATCTATCAGCCTTGGTTGTGATATTGCGAATCGAAACCCGAAGGGTCTTCAATCCAATTATGTTATGACCCATCTACCAATTACTCAATTACACGTCCCTTTGTACGGGTATCCAAGCCTCATTACCAATTTTTGACATCTAAGCATCAACTTCGTTCTGTGATTCGAGTTGTAACATTAAACGTGCTCAACATCAAACTTCTCGTTCGGAACCTTCATTGTCTCTAGCACCGTGCTAGCACTGCGGGGTTCCAAGCTCTTCTTGACAGGGTTTGGTGCGGAGAACACCTCCTCCAATTCCTCAAGAGTACGATGCTTGGTCTCAGGGAAGAAGAAAAAGATGAAGATGGCCTCGAGAATGTCCCTAAATTGTCATGTCAGTTGTCTTTCTCTATAATTCATCCTCCAGGTGTTGCTTACCAGAAGACGAAGACGAGATAAAAGTAGTATCCAATTTTCTCAAAAGCAGGCCCAGAGCTGTAAGCGAGAACGAGAGAGATGGCGGACGACGCGAAGTTGCCGACGGCAGTTCCCTTGGCACGGGTGGTAGTCGTCAAGGTCTCGGCGATATACATACTCTGCTGAGCCGTCCATCCGAGCGAGAAGACAACACCGAAAAGGTACACAAAGGCAATGGTAGTGTTCGCAGCATTGGTGTTGTCCGGGTTGTCAACAGCCATCTTAGATGTTCCGGTCATAACGGCGAAAGTCATACTGCAGAAGAGAATGCTGTAGATGAGCAAAGGGCGACGGCCAACCCTGTCAGTCAGGCGGGCACCGACAACACTGCCGAGAAGACCGAGAACACTGTTGACTGCGTTGAGAGCGAGGACCTTCTGCTCTTGGACGATTCCGGCCGTGTTCATCATAGTGACAAGGTAGTAGCTGGAAAGTGAGTTTCCGGAGGCCTGCAGCTGTTAGTGATGAAATCAGAAGAATGAGCTGAGCCGTAAGTACCTGTCCCATAATGGCCATGCCAATGACGCAGATCAATCTCCTGCGCGCAGAATGGGTATTCCAGAGTTCGTGGTAATCCCACCACTTCTTGTCACTAGCCTCGCTGGAAATCTGCGCCATCATCTCCTTCATCTGCAGTTGTACAATCGGGTGCTCGGGATCCTTCTCGCCGTGAAGCCTGGTAAGAATCTTGGCAGCTTCTTCATGTCGATCGTTGGCAACGAGCCACCTAGGCTATTTCCACCTGTCAGCAAAGTCATTGGGAAGGGAAGATAGCGACTTACGCTCTCGGGGAGGAAGAAGACGAAGATAAGCACGATGCCGCTAGTGACCATTTGGATCCAGACGGGGATCCTCCATCCATCATCTCCGGGGATGAATGAAGAGCCGTAGACAACCCATCCTGCAATGATTGATCCAACAGGCCTGTTCTTGGTTAGAATATCGGGACTTCAAATGACACAGGTCTTTGTCTGTACTTACCACATGCAATTGTACAAGCCAGTGAGCGTTCCTCTCCACTTGGGATGGGCCAGCTCGCTCACGTAGGTCGGCGCAGAAACGCAGCAGAAGGAGACACCGAAACCCAGAATGAAACGTCCACCCAGGAAGTGAGGAATGTCGTGGCTCGTTGCTCTAATATTGTTGTTAGTAATGCGGATTTGCAAATGTTCAAATTGTAGAGGGTGTTCTTACTGCACGGCGGTGCCGACGATGATCAAAGCCGCACCCGTGAACATACCCCAGCGGCGGCCGAAAAGATCATTCACGGGCCCGGTGAAGAAGATGGCAGCTACAGAGCCGACGTTGTACCTAAGACCCCTCGTCAGAAACCAAGTCCTTAGATTCATAACGCAAAGCGTCGCTCACATCATGAAGACGATACCGGTGGATGAGCCCGAGGTTGTCATGTTGAAAGTTCGTTGGTACGAGGTCATGCCATTGAGACCACCTGGCACACGATTAGCGATCTGCACCCCTTGCTACGTCCACATGTGAGGCCTGACATACCCATAAGCGATCCATCGTACCCATTGAGGGCACCGCAGCAGTATGCGACGAAAAGAACGCCATAGAGGGTGAACATCGACTTGGTCCAAGGCGAGTACTTGCTATCGTCGACTTCGTGCGCGATCTCGTGTGCGACGACCGCAGCGACCTCTGCGGGAGGCGCATCTTCTCTCACGTCGCTACTAGTGTGGTCATATTTCTCGTCGTTTATTGGCGCAGCCATGGTGGCAGGCAGGAGACGAAACTCGTTAACTTCTTGTTACTTTTGAAGGTAGATGATAAGCTCAGAAGGGCGGACAGTCAAAAAGCCAACCACCTCTGCAAGCCCTCGCAGGCGCACACCTCTTTTATAAGCTCCAACTGCATCATCCCAATGGCTCGCTTCTCCCACGCTCCCTTGGCTTGCAACCATGCCACCCAAGAAAAAGCCATGCAACGCCAACGCGTGAGGTGCCAAACCCACCGCGTATCCACATCCGTGGGTTCATCGAAACAGCTGAGCTATCCCCGCAATACCCCAGACCGCGCGATCCCCCGGCCGATCACATGAGGAGGTTGACGGCGTGTGGTGCTAAGGTGGGATGCGAAATCCGGGTTGTGTCCGGCATTGCACATCGGAGCGCAGCGAAGAGCCGCGGTAGGAAATTGAACCGGATCGCCGAGGCGCGTCGTGATTGGAGGGGTTAAAGGCGTCGAGCAGACGAACGACGGGTTGGTCCATGGCGTCGCTTGGCGATCCTTTGCCGATGGGGTGAGCGGTGCTGTCGGCTCCGGGTTCCCCGAGAGTACGCTGCTAACTATGCCGCGGCGTGGGTCAGTCGCAACGGCTAGAACATGCCTTCACTGTTTGGTGAAACTAGGAACCATATTTTCTGATGGCTCGTCTCTATTCCAGACTTCTGGTTGACCTCGGTAACGTTCCACATTCTCGGGATGCGCCACGTTGGTTGGCCTCTGTTGAGCCACCTGCCCGGGAACCTTCCTCAGGTGGCGTGCGCGAGATCATGGGATAGATAACGAGATCCAAATACATGAGATCATCTCAGGACGCTTGGGTTTCTGCGTGTTTTGCCGACATCTGCCGGATTCTGCGGCATCGGCCGGGGTAACCGGGCCGGACTTGGATCCTGCTTCGCCGACTCATGCCAGGCAATAATCATAATCTGCAGTACTGATGGAGATGCCACAGACGATTCAAATACGTCCTGATTGGCTCCCCGTAGTACATTGAGTAGGTACAAGAGCCTGACGCGAGGTGCAATCTGTACAGCTGGAGAGGCCAACCTAGATCCGCCTCTTGACCCTGGTGTCAGGCAATCAAAGTCTCTTGCTTGGCATCTGGTTTTCCATCTGTCTCTCTACATTGGTATATCGTACTGGGTGGAAGCTCTTGCCACTTAGCTCAGGGTTATTGTCCCTGAAATACGAACTCTTATTCTCGTTCGACATGAACATGACATCATGAACTTATTGGCCTGTCTCCCAGTCTTTGCAGGGGGCCCATCCGACCCATCTCGGCTCCGGCCGGCTTTCCTCGGGCTACATCCCCGCGTTGTCGTTCCCACTGTCAACCGCCTGCAGTCATTTAAAAAGCGGGCGCTGTGGGTCGTTTCCACCTTCTGACCCGAGGAATCTTTCGTTGCGAAAGCCTCGACTCGGTGTCGGCGACGAGCACCGATGTTGGGCCATCTGAGCAGGCGACGACGAAAATCTGTGTTTAGGGGATGGTTGTGTTTGTCCACTCTCCCGGTCATGATCATTTGTAATTCACGATGTTACTTGCTATTAAAACGGAATGCTAGCGCTACCACAGTGTGCAAGAAAAGCAGCATTCAGTAGCCTCAACAAGTGCCCAATCCCAGTGATCTGACGTCCGGGCAAATTCATCACATAGCCGTCCTGAGTGCCAACTTTGTTCGATATGATGTTTTTTTTTTGGAACACCGGCTGAATCTATGCATGCCAAAATTGGCTTTAACCCGACGAACGAAAAGAATTGATTGGGCTCAGAATACTGTCCTCTATCTGGTCCCTCCCGCACGTGTGTAGGGAGGACGTGATCCTTGGCATTAGTCGGTTTACAAGGTTTCAACATCAATTCACTACCTTATCTATTCTCATATGAGATGCCCATCATGTCGACAACATGTGCTTTAACCGATCAGCCTTCGCTAGGTCCGAATTTATGTGGCTGGACACCATAGTCGAAAGAGACAAAGGCGCACGGCCACATGATTTAAGCCCCGCGGTCATTTGATCTAAACCCCGCGATGAATCACACATCAACTACACGCGAAATTCCATCAATCGCAATCTATTGCGGCTTGCACAACATTGCCCCTGTTTGAGCAATCTTATAGTCCAATGGGATCAGACGGTTTGGAACAGGAACCAACCGAGGAACAGCAGCCACCGCAGCAGGCTTCGACTACCTCTGCACCAGAGAGGAAAGAACAGCAACTGCTTTCAAGAGGCTCTGGAAGTGACGGCGGCGTTCCTTCGGTCCATCCGACTGCGTGCTTCAATTGCCGATCAGCAAGACAACGATGCGATCGTCGCCTGCCTTGGTAAGTCGAATATTCATCTGTTCGCAGTCAAGATGGACTCAACCGCTGACATCATGAGGCAGTTCGCGATGTGTTTCTCAGGATCGAGCCTGCCTATATCCATCTGGCTCTCAAAGAGGTCGCAAGCACGGAAGTGTAAAGTACGAAGACTCCTTGCGAGAGTTAAATATTTCATTGGCTGATTTCGAGCCAGTAAGCCGGACACCGTGGAAAAGATACTCGCACGCATCAACGAGAGCCCCTTGCGTGCCCAGGTCATCGCTGCCCTCCTTCGCGAACACAGCGGACAGACATTTGTAACGACACCACCGATACCTTCAAGACCTCAACCTGCCCCTACCATCGCCGAAGATGCAGTCTCCAGTTGCATCCACGTTGCGACTCAATATCATGAGTCATTCCCCCACGACAATCACCGACAAAGCCTTGGCCGGGTTTTCACACCAAGCGATCAAAGCTCCGTGGTGTCACCTTATCATATTATGGCCGCAGCTGCAGCAGATATGACTCCTTCGCAATATGAGGGAGCTTCACCCATTCTTGACCCAGACTTGACCGCACATTTTAATCATGCTGAAAGCCCAGACCCCATTTACAAACGCCTCGAAACATATTTCAGTAATAATTACTCATATAATATCTCCTGTAACATGGCATTGCTGACAAGATGGTGGCCAGCACCTCGGATTACTTACCCTAAGGACTGGCAGATCTTAGCATCCCAGTCGATAGACAGCACTCTCAAACTAGAAGCCGATGCCTGCGACCCAATAATTGCCCGTTTGATTGATAAGGAGGACGTGGAACTGTACTGGAGTCTGTAAGTGTGGCCCTTCTGATATCGCGTCAGGTTTAGGACTGATCAAGGTATTGGGTTCAAGTTTCTTCCAAATACGCAACTCTTTCGTCGGCCTTCTAGACCCTGTACTCCACACCTCCGAATACGTCTACTCAATCTCGTTTACGCTGTTCTCTGTTGTTTGCGCGATGGGATGCGGCATCTCGGGTCGAGCTAGAGACCGGATTCTATACCCTACATTGCTATCGATCGCCGAGGCCAACGTAAGATGGTCCATAGCCATGTCCGTCAGATCGGTGGAGCTGATTCAAGCCATCATCAACTTGAAATACTGGGCACCTCTTTGCGAAGGACATGCGGATGATCCTTACTGGCTTCAAGTCAGTTATGTAGGTAAATGGTTGCAGCATCTGGCAACTGAGCACTGTCACTGACTACTACCTGTGAATTCACTAGATCGCACCATTGGCAAGAGAGATAGGCATCAACTCCCCTGATGCCGTTGCAAAGCTGGTGAACGCAGCCCGGCCAAACGCGACCAGTGAGTGGAAGGAACGCCTCACGCGAAACTTTGAGACAACTTGGATCTATGTTTTTCTTGCTGAAAAATCGTTTGGGATCACCACTGGCCGTTATCTCAGTGTTTCGTGGAGCGAGTTGCCCCAATCCGTACCTGATTGGTGGCGGAAACCGATGACAAGTCCCACCGATCGTATGATCTGCGGTATCATAGAGATCAGAGGAAAGCTTGTGAGTAAATTGCTACTGGACTCTGTCTAGATGGAGCATCAGTGTCCGCTGACCAGTACCACAGTTGACAGCTTTAGGAAAACATTCGCTCGTAGATAGAAGCCTTTCAGCCCTGTTGGGCTGGCACTCGGAAGCGTTCGGGATCCTTGAGACTACTCGGGATCTCCGATGTACCCCAGACGGCTCACCTTCGTCACAGTATCTTCCGATTCTCGATTTCTACATGGGTCATTCACTGTTGGTGCTCAGCGCAACTGCGTTGAAGGACATGAGATCCCTTGACAAAACCGAAGCATCGACAGAGATTTCAATTGTCACTGAACGAACGTTCAAGGTTGCTTTGCGCGCGCTCAATGTCATTCTCTACGATGCAATTCTGCATGAGATGATTCTCGGAATACAGAACAACATGTATATCATGATTGCTCACGCCATTACCGAGATAATTCAGGTGGGTCTCTCTTTCAGCTCATATGCTTCCCCTCGGACTGACATTGAATGCACTGCTTTCTTAGGCCATCAAGCGCGGATGCATCGCATCTTCCGACGCAATTGAAGCTGCGACCAAAGTTCAGGCGACTTCAAGACGACTGGAGAAGCTAGGCCAACAACTGCCTTCGTCGTCCCCGATCCATCTATATAAAGGCCTCGCCCGTGTTTTCGCAACAGATCTGAGCAGGATTATGAAGTCCAAAGAAAATGATTTTGCCCAAGACGAGGAAGAAAACACGGATGAGCCTCCAGATTGGCTTAAAGCATTCGATGGAGGATCGTTGGACTCTGCCGCATGGTTAGACATGGGCTTTCTGAGCTCTGGGCAACCTCTTTCTGATGCTGCTCAACTCACGGGCGCCGAAAGTCTCAACGGACTATTATTTCCCTAGACCTCTGTATCCCCCTGCACATGCTGAAAAGGGGCACCACACGCGAATGAGGGTGCCATCTGTGGAAATCGACTTTCAGGACCGATAAACCTAGTTGAAAACGCTTGACACGCCTTTATGAACCATTCTAGTGCAATTGAATCTCGTACGTTACACTACTAAACAACGGGCCGCAATTATGGAGAAGTCTCTACTCGTAATTACAATATCAAAGATAAGCTTCCGCCGCAAACTTTGAGTTCAAGTTCCCCATGGATCTTGAACCTTATTTACATCCCGCCCCCGACCACTCCCGTGGGACTAAAAGTTGACTTTTATTGGCCTTATTTAAATTGAAAATAACTTCGAGCGAATATTGACAAGTCGTGATTTGCTCAGGGAGGGTAGCTGCAATAAAAAGACGCATGTCTGGTTAATGTTTTTGAGATACCAATTGATGGAGTGTATCTCAATGGATGTGCTAGTGTGCCTGTTGCGCATTGTGTCAAGTATTCAGATTTGATGCAAGCACCCGCGACAAGTCCACAAGTAAAGCTTCCACCAGTTGCAATGATGCAAATAGTTCAGTAAATTTCAAGCGAAAGAAAAATAGTGCTGCCTTTTTTAACAACCTATCTGCTGTCTATCTCGGTTCTGTTGATTTCCCAGGCGATAGCATCTCCAAAGAGCTTTGCCAGCTTCCGCGAAGTGGTGCCAGAGCCTAGATCATCAATCAGTATCTCTCTTCAGTGGACGAAACGGATACGACGTTACCATTCATGACTTTCTTCAATCAAAGGACCATTCGTGACACCCTGATTCTTCGACTTGGAATTCTTAAGTGATAAATGGCGGTAGGTTATGATCGATAAAAAGCATAGTCAAGCCACTCGTGCATGTCGATGGTGTTCAAGTCAACTTCCGGGATTTCGAGCTCGGCAAGCATTTCGTGTAGCTTTTCGAGCCCGCTGTGTTGTCGTTCTTCCCATACGCCAAGTCGTCGGCGCCGCCTCTCATCCAGAGCTCGCTTTGCCGCACCTTTCTGATGATGGCGCAGCACCCTGTCTAGAAGGCCATTCAAAAGGGACAATACAACGCATGCGAGCCAGGCTTTGACCGTGACGGAATTCGGCAGCAGGGTACCACCTGTCGCGGCACCGATATTGCCTCTGAGTCTCAGTTCGGACATGGCCGCGGGCCATGTGTGATTGGAGGCGGATGCCATAAGCCAGCAGCGCAACGGCGAGGGCGGAGAAAACGATGAGCTGTGCAAGGATTATGTCACTCTGTCATGGGCTCGATGCATGGAGTCCACAGAGGGTATAAATTCGGCGGCCAGGCCGCGAAGTCGGACCTGCGATATGGTGGATTGGAGATGGCGGAGTACCGGCAGTGTCGGACAACAAAAGCTCAGCTCTGTGTGAAGGCTCTCCAAGTGTCCGACCGCCGGCCGGTGCGGCACGCGGACCATTGACGTTGTTCTACGGCTAGAGTCAAACTTTGATTCGATGAAACAGCGCGCTCGAATTCTATTACCTCCACCGACTAACATTTCTGCTGAGCTTGGATCAATTGATCCGATGTTTCTCGACTCACTGATTGGTGACGACAGAGGCCTGGAAGCCGGCCCCGCCGCCCCGGACATCATCGGAGGCCGGTTAGGGCAGAAACAAGATGAGCGGTAGATCACCTATTGGAACCGAGTCAAACTACTTGTCAAATGTAAGTTTCTGATCTGGGGTTGTAAAGCGTTCTGGAAGAATTCCGTCCACTTTCTTCTTTGGTTTCAGAGAACGACGCGAATTCCATTCTAAACGCTACAACGATGCAGCAATACACGTATAGACGAAGCGACTGATTGGCCGCATTGACGTCCGTTCTGCAATACGACGGAAATGCAGTGTGGCTGACTTGCCGAAGTTGCGCCGAACCAGGACTACTCCGTGAGAAAATCTCTAGAAGGCGATCCTATACGTCGTAAGGATTAGATCGCTAACGTGTAAACCCGCTTATTTCCTTCAATCGAATAGCCCTGTTCGTCTCAACGCTTGACGTTAGGATGGTAATGTGTCACTCCAATTTCCAAAGCCCCCCCGCATTGGGTAAAATGTGATAGCAAGCGGCATTAGAGACGCGGCTTCAGACGAAAATCGCCTCGTCTCCGATGCCACTTGCGGGTTGGTGTTGTGGAAACAGTTTCCCAACCGTGGGCCACGTCGCTTTCCATGTATTCGCTTAGGTATGGAGCACCTGGAGATGCATGCTTAATCGTCATCAGGCTATGAACTACGTATGACTGCCGTGCGCTAGTGCAGGTTCGTGGATGGCAACGGAGGCCAAATGGAGGCTGTTGTGGACTGGTTCCGCCCATACTGGCGGTACCATCAATGCCATCGGTATATCCATTCAGGTAAGGCTGAGCAGCATTCGCCGAGATTTCACAACATGCCGAGACCGATTGCGATCCAAGATGGGTGATGATCTAGAGATGGGACTGATGGAGAAATTCCGAGTAGGGGCGCAGTAGTGGTTTTGAGCAGCATCTTGGGGAGTGGAGGGTCGTACAGATGATCAGATAGGGGTATGGTTCATCTCTCACGATCATAGATAAATATCATCCTTTCTCTGTTTGTCTTCTCTCAAAACACTCACCATCCCACGTTCTTTCGTTTCAATCACATTTCATCCATTATCCCCAACCCCAGATCGCCAACCATGTTGTCTCCCCCAGTTCTTTCCGCCCTATTACTGGCCGGCTCTGCTGCAGCCGGAAGCTCGAAGTACGGGCGCCGGGACTTGTTGGTCACCGACAGCGTTAGAGCTGCCTGTGACCAGCTAAGTGCCATCGCCTCCAACGCGACCCTCTTCCCCAATTCGACCGCCTACGAGACCCAGCGTATCAACGTCTGGGATAAGAGGGCCAACCTTTCCCCTGCGTGCATCTACATGCCGAGTACTGCGGATGATGTTGCCAAGGCGGTTCAGATCTTCCACACCAACAAGGCCCCTTTTGCTGTCAAGGGTGGTGGTCACATGAACGTGGGTGATCCTTTTGGCGCCGACTCTCCTGACCCTTATCCACTAACGGAATGTGTCAACAGTACCCCGGATCCAACACGATCGACGACGGTATCCTTCTCGCCTTGAGTGGACTGAACGCTCGCAAAGTCAACGCCGACGATAACAACATCGAGGTTGGACCTGGCAACAAGTGGGTGGATGTCTACCAGGAGTTGGCACCCTATGGAAAGTACGCCATCGGCGGTCGTCTCAAGACCATTGGTGTCCCCGGCCTCACCCTGATCGGTGGTGTCAGCTACTTTCTCAACAAGTATGGCTTCTCTATGGACAACGTCCTCAGCTACGACGTGGTTCTCGGAAATGGCACTCAGGTCGTGGCCGACAACACCACAAACACTGAGCTCTTCTGGGCTCTCAAGGGTGGCGGCAGCAACTTTGGAATCGTCACCAAGTTCACCTTGAAGACCTACGACATCCCTCTGGTCACCAGCACCTTGCAGGTTTTCCCCCAGGATGCCATCCCCGATTTCATCAAGGCCGCCTGCGACATGGTTCTTTCTGAGGATGGAAGCGTCGGTGCCGGAGCTGTCATTAACATGAACTACAACATGACTACCAAGGAGACCAACCCCCAGGTCTTTGGTCTTCAGGAGACTACCGAGTCGCCCCCTTCCCGTTTTGCCAACTTCACCGTCATCCCTAACGCTATCACTCGCGTCCACAATGTCACCAAACCCATCTACTGGCACGCCCAGATGGAATCTCCAAACCAGATGTTCCGGTAAACTTTGGGCTGTGATGATCCTTAGTAGCAGTAGCTGACCTATCTTGCCAGCATTCAGTTCGCTCACCAAACCATCAAGCCCGATGCCGACCGACTCTGCGAGATCTACCAGTCTTGGGTCGAAGCCATCCAGGATGTCGCTGATGTTGAAGGCCTTCGCCCTACTTACATCTTGAACCTACTTCCCGCATCTGCCCTGAACCCCTCCAAGACCAACGGCATTGGCAACACCTTCGGTCTCGAAAATGATCAGCCCTACATCTGTATGTGACATAGTACGAATCTTGGGCTCTCTTCATTCTGAACTAACACACCAATGCAGGGTGGCAGTTCACCACTTCTTGGGCTCGCGCCGAAGACGATCTCCGAATGACGGCTTGGCACGAGTCTCTTCTCGCCCACCACCACGAGATCAATAAGGCCAAGGATCTCGCTACCGAGTTCATCTACATGGGTGACGCTGGCGAGTTCCAGAAGCCGCTCCCTCAGTATGGCGCTGCCAATGTCGAGAGAATGAGGTCCATTCGTGACCAGTACGACCCTGACTTGACCTTCACCAAGCTCAGCTGGGGTGGCTTCAAGCTTGGTTACTGAGAGTAACTTTACCATACCAAATTCTGGGTGGCTTCGTAGCTGAACCCACCGCATTTGTATAGACATCCTTACCTTCTCTTCTTTTACATAGTTACATACAATTATTTGAGGCTTCTATCGCAATTGTGCTTCTTAGTGGCTTCGACGTGCCTGCATTCTGACCAAACTTTAATGACATTACTTTCTTACATTGGGTGACTTCTTTCCTCCTTATTCCATTCCGAAAACAGCCTCCTCTTCTACGCTATCTGTCAAGTAAGTGAAGTCGTTGACCAAACACTCCCCAATCAGTTTGCACCTCTCAAATCGCATTCCTCTCAGAAACGCACGGATTTCGAAAGGTGACTTCGAAGAGACTCCGGTCTTCTCGGAATAATAGTTGGATGCTTCTCCCAAACGCCGAATGACGAATGGCACCCGTGCTCCTCTAAAAGAAACGACAAGGTCTCCTAAACAAGACCCAGGTGGCAAAATCACCCTGCAGCTATCGTCACGAGTTACGTGGTTGTCGAATGTTCCTATTCTTTTCCTTTCCACTGCTGAGGACTTGTCGGTAATGAAGTTGACGTGGCTCCCGGCGTCACTGGACCAAGCTGTCCTACCGGACCCGCCAGTCGTCTTCCTACCACGATCGAATAAATGACCTTCGATTGTGTCATGCTCCAAGTCAGGGTCATCATTCAGAAGACACCAGTCTTCCTCATCAATCGGAACTTCAGACATGTCTGGGTCTTCGTGAGCCTTCTGCCACTTGCCAATGTGCTTCTGCATGAGAAAGCATCTCCATCGAGAGATGATTTCCCGTCGCATCTGCCCGAGGTCGTCTTGTAGTCGATCCCTAATGTTCTGGAACGACGCTTCATCCACATCTCGAAGGGTTATCCAAGGCCCAAGGAAATTGATCTGGCCTAAGCATGAACCAATCGCGTCGAGACGGGAATCATTGGCGCCTGCCCACCTCATGCTATCTTTGGTGATTTTCCTCCGCCTTGCTTGGGCTTCTTCTGTCTCCTTGTCAAGAGAGCTTAGAAACGTAGGCCCAATGAACCCTGATAATGGCAAGTCTGGGAACATTGGACAAAGTCTTTCGTTAGTGCCAGCCTGGACCTCTCGAATATCAAAGTTGTTAAGCTTGGCTTGTTGCGAATGCTGCCACCTTGTGTGTCTTTTGATCATCTCAACGCCCATCTTGCGCCTCAAAGCTTCGATTCTTCGTGCCGATTCACTCCAATTCCAATCTGGAACCCAGGATGGGAGCCAACCATAGGGGGAGGCAAAGAAGGGTTGGAAACGGACAAAGTGGTTGACATGGCTAAGCATGTCGAAGCTCTCACTAGTGGTCATCACGAATCTTGCCAGATCTGCATACACCTCAGCTGGATGCTTGCTGTAGTCAACAGCCAACTTCTTGTCGTCCAGATTGATGTTTGCTGATATTCCCAGGAGCGCGAATACCTTGTCCCGGGGATCCGATGCCTCAAGCTGACGCGCTCTCATGAGCATCTCGGTAATGTCATCACTTGGTGCCGTGTAATTTGCGATTTGGGAATACCAATAGGGTCGGAAATTCTGAAGACCGTGGGTGACCTGGTAGGCGCATCGAGCTTGAAACATTTCCTGTACAATATCGATTTTCTCTCTTGACTGAATCGTCAGACTGTACTGTCTCTGGTAACTTGGACGAAGAAGGAGCATTTTGCAAAAGTCGTCCCATGGAATCCTGCGGCAGCCGCACTGGATCGAGACGAGCTTCGAAACAACAACCTCCTGAAGCACCCACACCCTCGAGAACCATTTGTGTGATAGAACAGATGCCTCAACATCTTGTATGGTGCCTCTGAAGGTTGTCAAGCTTTTTTGAAGTCGAGATGGTCGATCGTAGTCTTTGTTGCCATGATTGTCAAGAGCCCACATGCTGTTTCTTTCCAAAAAGTTCCAAGCGCAGTGAGTTGTCGTTCTCCCGTTGTCATTCCCAAGATAGATTATCGTGTCAGTGGATGAGGCGTAGATATCGCGCATCTGCTGAACTTGATGGTTGCGCTCATTCACATTGACCTGGTCGATGCAAATGGCATCTGCCCAGACTCGAATAGGCTTATCTCTTCGGCGTATGTGACGGAGTGCATCGGAAATATTGCGGCCGATTGGCAACTGTTGGCCATTGATTTTAGCCGTACCACCATTTGTCTTCCGACCCCAAACGTATGAGAGAGTGACATATGACGTATGTTCGTCTTCGCAATCTGAAAGTCGTGTTGATACCAGGCTTCCATGTAGTTCCGCATCAATCCTGTCAGCAGGGAGCAAAACTAGAATCCTGATTGAGTCCGAATGTGGCAGTGGGAAGTAGACATCAGGAATGGTTGTAAGCGGTGCTTCTGCCATGCTAGATGTCAGAGGCAAGGGTACCGAAGAAGTGATTGATTCGAGTTGTTCTGTGAGACCCTTTCTCAGCCTAGCAAATTGTTGGCTGCTCGAAGGACTGCCAGTCGAAGAGTCACTTTGTGCACACATCGTGATCGCAACCGAAGGACACCTTGGCACATTGGAGGCGGGGAATTGAATGCAGCCTGCCATCCACTGTGGATCATGCTGCTGCGATTGGGATCGGGGACTGCGAGACTGGGCACTTGTATCGCGATAGTGTTTTCCATTGGTCGACCAGAGGGTGAGAAAATAGCGCGGATCCTCGCCGTGACAGCTATGGTGATGTAGATCCCGCCAAAGGATTGATCTGCCTTGGCAACTTGAGTGGCTGTTCAATTCACAGCCATCCCACAGCCGTCCAATAACTGGATAATCTTCTGGCGAGTATCACCAAGTCGCCTATGTTCAATTTTCACATTTCCATGATTTCTGATCACTACTGTAATTGCCCTATCACTGCGGGCTATTGACAGTGAACAACAACGGTACACATTGCAAACCACTCCGAATCGCGTGATGGAAATGAAGAAGTCTGAATATTGTGGCCCTTGAAATACAATCTTTCGCAATTATTGTAAAATTTATGCTGTTGATAGCTGGGTCCAGGCAGTCTCATGACGCAGCCGCTAGGCAGCAACAAAGTCTCAAAAGGGCTATGCCAACGCAAGACTGTCTCATTTGCGTGGTGAGGCGGCAAATTGTACCCTGCAGGTATGCTGTCACACTGTGGCACAGGTCACAGTTCCTCGTAAATCCTACACTTTCTTGGGTCTATGCGCCTTTTGCCAGAAACTTCGCCTTTCGCTTAATCCGCCGCAACGATGTCATAGAGCCGAAGTGGGCGATTTGCCAAGGATTGAAATGAGAATAATTATCTGAGTCTCCCCGTTACAGTGAGACTACATGATCGCATTCTGGCAAAACCTAGGCCTCGCTCTTTTCAGTTGTCTGAGCCAAGTCCATAACCTTGCTGAACTCGATATTCTTACTACCACCTCCCCACAGCAGGTTCTCTAGTCTCTATCTCCTTTTCTTTACCAACAAATTGCCATGGAGATCAGCCACGTGTTCCAACGTGACAGCGACTTCGATCGAGAATACGAGTCTGGCAAAACGGCCGGTCAAGTCATTGGCGGAGGCATCATTGCTGTCATTGTCATTGTCATCGTGTTATTCATCTCCTCTATGATAGCCGCTTGTTGCGTATGTAGCCGGCGCAAAGAAAGAAGACGTCAGCATGACTTGGAGATGAGAAAACATATGGGCGAAGACCGATCAAGCACAGCGTCCAACGATGTACATCCAGCTGGAGCAGGCGCTTCCTCCACATCACCCTATGGCCAAGGGACTTATCCGAGCCACGGATATGCCTACAACAACAATACCGGCTACAGCTACAGCAAGAGTAACGGAAATACATCGAATGATGACAATGGAATGCCTCCGGCATACACAGCCAGAGATGGGGCCTCGACCCACGGAGACAATACGCAGTCAGGTGGAGGGATTGGTACAGCATTGTAGCGGGCGGTTTAAGTCAAACTCTGGCAGTCATTTGTTTAGTGAAACGCCGACAGAAAAAAGCTTGTTCATCCTTTAAGATACCTCTTGATTAATCTTTCTCTCGTCCAATAATACACGATGCCCGATCAGACAATAACATATCTTTTTCCGGCGCTTATTTTGTGCCTACCATGATGAATACTACTGTTTCCCACTGTCTGTCATTTCTGAGGATGTGCGCTGTCAAAGCTTCGGCAAACAGGTTACGATACAAGTCACCTTGAAAATCGACCCAAACTGCACAAGGCACAAGAGATACGACGGACTCAAGACAATATTTCAAGGCAACTGAGATTGCATTGCTATAGTGGAAGTAGACCTAAACGACTTTTCATTCTGCCTTTTCATTCTGCCTTTTCATTTTCCATGGTTTTCCGTTACACCGCCAACTTTTCCTGGGGGCCCAGCAAAGGCAACAAAAAGCAGCGACACAACTTTTTCCCAGACTCAGAAAGAGTGAGCCCGCAAAGTGCTGCAGGATTGAAGCAGAAGGTAAACACGAGACAAAATCATACTGCAGACCGCAGTTGCCATTAACGACAGCCCACCCCCTCCTTGCAAAATAAGTGACCGGTCACTTATTTTGCAACATTTACTTGGCAACACCGATGTGCGAGAAGCACTTCTTGAACGAGTCGGCCTCAAGAGCGAACAGACCGCCGTGGTCAAGGAGGGTGGCGGGGTTCCAGATCTCGGGGTCGAGGCGGCCGAGGAGACCGGTGTAGCTGGTGAGACCCTGAGGCTCGGTGACACCCCACGGGTTGCGGAGGACGATGTACTGCTTGTCGCCGATGACGCAGTATCCGAGGACGGAGTAGGCGTGGTTGGCAACAATGTTGGCACCGTGGAAGTCGCGGCCGGTGGCATAAGTGAAGGCCGTCATGGGGTTGATGGTCTTGTTGTTCAAGCTGTTGGAACGAACCAGGCCCAAGAGGGTGTGGGCAGAGTGGTTGTTGCACTCGTAGTAGTGGGGAGTGCGGCCGTTGATCTGAGCCATGGCCTTGATGGGGTCACCGCAGTGAGTCTGGGTGATGTCGGGCTGCTCGGAGTTGGTGCCAGTAATCCACTTGGCGAAGGCCTTCTCGTAGAGCGAGGGCCAGATGTCAGCACCGTCGCTGGAGCGGCAGTACAAGGGCTCGTTGTCGGAGTTGTTAATGGGGATCTCGTAATTGACCTCAACAGTCTCGGTGCGGTTGTTCTGCTTGCCTCCCTTGTCGTGGAACTTGATGGACAAGAAGCGCTTCTTCTCGTTGCCATGGGTGTGGACGCGGGTAGCGCGGTTGATGGCACAGGGGTCGGCCCAGAAGACGGAGAAGAGGGCAGAGACGAACCAGGAGTTGCTGGAGCAGCCCTGAGTGGGGTCGTCGAAATTGCGGAGGGTCTCGCGGCGGTCACCAACGCGGAACATGGTGATGTCGGAGATCAGGCGCTTGTTGACCTGCTGGAAGAAGTAGTCGTACATGTCGCGCCATGAGGCGTTGGGTGGTTGCCAGCGGCCCTTCTCGCGCATTCTGAAGGGGGTGACCAACTCGTTGATGGACATGGTAACCTCGCGGTTGGAAACAGTGCGGGCGAGCTCGTGGGCGTGGAGAACCAGGCGAAGCTTGCCGTTCTGCATGCGAGCAACCTTGACCTTCGTCTCCTTGATGTCCTTGAGACCAATCTTCTCGAGGTCGTCCAGGCGGCGGACACCAGAGAAGTCGGGGGTCTGGAGATCACGCTCGTTGAGGATCTTCATGTCCTTCTCGTCGTACATCTCGGCCTTGCGCTCCTTCTCGTTGAGCTTCATGCCGGCGTACAAGACGGACTTGTGGCGCATGTCGAAGAGCTCATCGTAGTCGGTCTGGAGGACATTCTGGAGGATCTGGGCAGCGGCCATGGACTCGCGGTCGATCTTGCGGCCGATGAGAGCCTCAGCGAGGGCATACGGGTTGACGGCACCAACACAGGGGTTCTTGGGGGGAGAGTCGGGGCGGGGCTCCTTGCTGAGATCGTGATCCTTGCTCATGTCGACGAGGTCCTCGTACTCGTCGATGTTGCTTTGGGTCGAGGAGCCGGGCTGGCTCTCGATCTTGTGCCCGAGGATGGCCTCGACGAGGGCGAGGACATTGCTGTCTCTTTCGGTGTTGCGAATGTCACCCATTTTGAAGTTAAAAGTTATGTAGAGTATGTTGTAATAAGTTGATAAGATGTTGTGCTTGATGCTGTTGTTGACTGAAAAACTAAAGCTGAGATCCTGCTGAGTATCGAAATAGCATCTGAAAGGCAGGGTGTTCGTCAAGGTTATATATTCTTCTTGAATTGCTTTTTGACCACACTTCTCAGCCTACTTCTCAAACTTCGGCCCTGCAAGCCTGCAAGGTGAATCATGAATGCGCAAACCCCAACTCAAACAGTGTTATGCGTGTTCGCTATCGGTGCGAAAGTTTTCGCATGGTATACTGCGGAGAAAGTCGAGGTGAGATTCGGAAAACAGGCGCCGAGACTTTCCATTGCCGGACTCCTCGTACTACACCACAATGTCTCCATCGTCGTATACAATCTCGTAACATCAGCGAACTACTGGTCTGAGTGTCAGGTAGCATTTGCCAATCAGATGCCCAGACATGAGCTGTGTTTTCACATGTGAGTACTACATCGTAAGCAGGATCTCCACAGATGCTGAAGCAGAATTAGCGCTAGATGAAGTCAAAGGCTTACGAGAATTCGTGCCTAATTGTCCGTGAGGGGGTGTCTGGGTTTGCTTTCAGCACGAACTAGAGCTCGCAGGCTGCGTGACGACTGGTGATGTAGGTTTTGATGAAACCCCGAGGAGGAGAAATTCACACAGCTCGCCGACGAAGCGGGGCTCTCAGATGTTGAGGAGTCCATCTCAGGAAGATGCTTGGATGCAGCTTCCCCGCGCTGATGTGAGAAAGTGGTAAGAACGTACATGTGGAGTTATCATGAGGCTGAGATGCAGTCCCAACAAACTCAACCCTGCAGCTACGAAGGCTGATCTACGATGCAGGGGTCTCGCAAGGACGGCAACATCGGAAGAAGCATGGGGAGCTGGTCCGGTTTGAGGTGACAACCGAGCTAGCCTCAAAACGTCAGCCGAGTGTCAGGTCTATGACATTGAAGTTGGGTGCCACCGATGCTACCGATGAAAAGCAAACTTCGAACCCACGTGGCTGAACGGACCTTCGTGGCGTCAAGCTCTGTCTCCCAATCCCAGCCATGTTGCAACAACATGTCAACAACGACCACCGTTGCTATTTGACTTTCGCAAACCCCTCACTCGTGCATTGAATCTCCAAATCCCCATTGGGTTTGCTCTTGCTGCAGCTCTAACGTAGCAAACGCAATTAGATGTTACGGCCGTGTCTTTCCACCTCGACTAGCTTTTCGAGCTGACGTTCTCCTCAAACAACCGACGGTAAGCGACGCGGAGCATGTAAGTGAAGCGGAATGCACGCTTTGATTTCATCACGAAGATACAAGGCAAGGCTTTCAAGGTTGCTTCAAAGGTTGCGGGGTACTGGCAAGGCGCGCGGGGTATGTGAAGTCTAAGAACACGAGGCTATGCGCGGCATTCTGATAGCCTCCAGACGATTTTGACATATGTGACACTTGGAGCCAAGACGGCCAACGAGGGCCAGATTCAGGTCCACGATGATGATGGTGGCGGCCGCCATTTCCCCGCAAATGTTCGGCAGCCGGCAATCTTGATCTCTCCCCTTGAGGCAACTCGTACGTCCGACAGCTTACATGAAGTTTCAATGGCTGTAGCTTGTGAATGTTTGCTATGTAATCACGCAGCAGCTTGGTCCCTAAGTGCGTCTGCATGCGCACAAACGCGGGGCTGAACCCAAGCGTCGTGAGGCAGGCGTGCGTGGCTCTGAAGGAATATGGGGCATTGATGGCCGTTCGCCGACAGGAAGATGAGATATGCAGCACGGTCTGACCAAAGGTCCAAGTCAAGATCCTCCCCCGCTGTGAAAGTCAGGACGATGTCTCAAGAGGCTGTCGGGCCGGGCGGGGAGAGCGGCCCGAGCCCGGTAGGGCGGACCCCGCCCGGCCTGAGTGGGGATTCGAGTGGGTATCGTGGCCGCCCAGCCGGCCGGGTCCAACCGAGAGCCTCAGAAAAGTCCATGTTTAAACGTGTGTCTGCTTGTATTCCTGAAAATTAATTATACGAATTCGAAGACTCGGGTTTCTCGCTTGCAAATTGGTGTCTACTCAAGCCTGAAACGTTGCCCATGCATTCAACTTGGCATCAAACGCTGAGCCTCGATGCATCTTTGTCCTTGAGATTTGCGAAAGCGACCACAGCTAGCGAAGAGCTTTGGCACTTGAGATCTGCGGGAAATCGATCTCATTTTCCGAGCCTGAGATCTTCTATCTTACGGACCGCTATCTTGGGCCTAAACACGGGGCTATTTGCGCCCGTTGCTATCAACTCACTGAGCATAGGGTGGTCTGTTCCGCGCGTGAGCTCAGGGCATGGACTTGTCTCGACCATTGAAGGAAGTGAACCACAAAACAAACCGACCGACGTCCAGGCTTCTTTACTTGACTGGTGTGTCTGCGTCTCTAGCAATGTCGTTGCTTTTGAAGCAATGGCAGAGCATAATCATTTGCTTGCCTAGCCTGCACTTCTTCCAACATCGACCGAGATTGAGAGTTGTTTTCAACTCCCTTGGTCTAAGCTCATTCAGTGGCTATGCAAACCTACGCTCGACAAGCGAGATGCCTGGACTCTGTGTTTCGAGCAGCAAAAAATTAGTTTCCACAGAGTCTAGCTCATCCGAGTTGGCATAACAGCTAGAAAACCAGTGTCTTATCTTACATATTTCGCTCTAACCTGACTTTCTCTGCCCCCCAATCGGGCCGGGGAACTTGCGGACGTCAAATAGCTTTCGTGACTCGTGAACGTGCATTAGTGAATATTCATGCAATGCATTTGTAACCATGTGAGTACGCGGCGCTGCAGGTCGACCATATGAACCTAGCCGGCGTCCCGCACGCCATGGAACTAAAGACATCGCCAACTTCATTTTCATATCATACCCGCTGTATCAAACGAACATGCGTCGATGGTGATCGTAAATACACTGCAAGTAGGGCCTTTGCCCATATTAATGACCTTCCAAATCCGGCGCGGGCGGAGCACCGGGCTTGTCACCGAATCGGCTCCGAAGATCCACGATTGCCGACTCATCGCCTCATTGGGTTCCACTCTGGTGTTTCCCCGCCGCGCTTATCTCCAGTGCTCAGAGCTGTCCTCTTTAGTTCCCAATGACGAACGAGTCAAATTCTACGGCTGATGGCTGGTGATTAGCATGTTCATCGTCAACCTTCTTTCAACCAATACGACCGACGTGGACTACGTTTAGAAATGGGCTATGCAGTCAACCCGGAGGACCTGCCGGTTCCCGGCCGAGACACCTACTTTTGGCTCGGGGAGATCAACAAGGCCAGCGCTGTGATCAATTCAGATGAAGGACTCCTCGAACCAGACGTCGCTCGACGCATCGCTCACGGTCTCCAAAAGATGCTCGAATCTGGCAATCAGCCAAATGCCCCGCGCCCGAGCCTTGTCATTACGTTCGAGCCCCTGCTCATTGAAGCAGCAGGCGTCGAAGCAACACTTCTCCATGCTGGGCGCTCGAGCCAGGATATGCTCACGACGGCTTCCACTACCATCATCCGCGATGCCGTGCTGAAGCTAGCCTCGCAACTGCATGCGACCACTCGTCGCTTGCTTGCCTTGGCTGAGACTCACAAATTGACACTTGTACCGAACTACACCAACGGCGTCGCTGCACAGCCAAATACATACGGTCACTATCTCCTTGGGCACATAGCCGGGTTTCACCGGGATGCGGAACGGTTACAGCAGTTTTATGCCAGACTTGATCGATGTGCTATGGGGACCACTGTTCTAAATGGAACAAGTTGGCCTCTCAACCGCGAGCGCATGGCGAACTACCTGGGCTTTCCAGCTCCTGTCGACAACGCATATGATGCAGCTCAAATCTCAGCAGCGGAGTGGCCCGTTGAGATTGGATCAATAGCATCTCAGATTGCTCTTCATGCAAGCGCCTACATCCAAGACGTGATGGTGCAATATGCCCAGCCGAAGCCATGGATTCTTCTGCAGGAAGGCGGAGAAAACACATACGTCTCAAGCGCAATGCCACAAAAGAGAAACCCAGGGCTCCTCATCAGAACTCGAGCCGAGGCTTCGAGAGTGATTAGCTTGGGTGTGGGTAGAGCAATTCAGGGTCATAATCTTCCTCCTGGCATGTTTGATGCCAAGGACTTGGGGGAGAATTTGGCTGTTGTCAATGGTGCAACCGGTGTTCTCGTTGATTTGCATCGTATTCTCGATGCGCTGGTCGTAGACGGCGAGAGATCTCTGAAGGAGTTGCATCTTGACTGGACCGCATCTCAAGAGCTGGCCGACATACTTATGCGCGAGCACAAGGTCCCTTTCCGCGTCGGACACCACTTTGCTTCAGAAGTTGTGAGATACGCAAAGTCAAACGACTTGTATCCTAGCAACTTCCCATACGCCGAGGCCTCAAGGATTTTCACCGAGACATTGGCACATACGGATCTTGTGAACGAGGGCTTTCAATTCTTGAGCGAAGAAGAGTTCCGTGATTCACTTGACCCAGCAGGTATCATCAAACGCCGTGCAACTTCTGGTGGTCCTCAGCCTCAAGAGATGAAACGTATGATTAGTGCTTCTCAGAAAGCTATTGATGGTCTTGAAAGCTGGGTGCAAGAACGCAGATCACATATTGAGAAACGCCTAGGAGAGCTGAATGCAGCATTCCAAACTTTTCTTCAGTGACAGGAAGTCAATTATAAAACGTCAACAGGTAGTGCCTTTCACAAGGAGTGATTTTGTCATCTACACTTCTCCAACCAGGCCGCCGGTTTTACCTTTTCTGTGATAGAACGACTACGTTTTCTGTGGGTTTAAATATACTTAATATTACTATTGCCGTCATCACTGCCTTTATATTTAATACCCCTTCCACTATCGTTCTCAACCGGATCAACTCAGTACAAGGGAAATATCGCACAGACACAGGAAAATTGAGCAGCCTCTTCTTCAATCTTTTCCAGTCTAACTGAGAACCTTGGCTCGCTTAAGACCGCTCATGACCCCGTCCACATCCATGCTTAGAGCTTGCTTTTGATTCGCTTGCTCGGACTGAGACATTGCAGCGATTCCGATTCAGCGGTGAGAGGCAAACTTAATTTATCTGGTGAAAAAATGTCGGAAATTGCAGGATGACAGGCTCGTAAGAGGGGCATGAGAAGAAAGAAGTCGGTTCGGTGTCACGAGAAAGCAACCTTAATGGCATCTATGGTGGACGCGAGTTGACGCTAACAGAAGAGGTCATGGCGGACTTCCAAAAGGAAGCAAGCGTCAACCCGATCTCTTAGAATACTCCCAGTCTCCCAATTTGAAGGGGGCGTTATCCTCGGAATGTCGGGTCATGTTTTATCGACTCCAGGTTCCGAGAACGTCATTCATATTTCCACGGTACCATCGCGGCGTCAGCACTAACCAACCCGGATCTTCGGTGACCCGCACGGAGCCGATGCCGAACGTCTCAAGCGATATGATGATAAGTAGCGTTCCATCCGCAAAGTTGATGGGGGGCCGTCGGAATTCCTTTTGCGTGAGCGATACAGCACTTGGCGTCAGCACTTTGCGGAACTCGGCCACGAGCACTTCAGATACGTCCAAATGATGGGAGATTTACCCCAAAGTGCACTAGCCGCCATGGTGTGATACCCGCATTGCGCCGTATCTATCCCCGCAAATTGCCGCGGCCAAAGGTCCAGGTGTTGGGGTATGTATCTAGCGTACGGCCTCGACGGGAAGATCATGATCGATAATTCCTTATTAGATCCACGCTGCACTACACTAAATTTCTACCCCAGTCGGACGAAACTCACATATCGAGTTTAGTCGAAAGAATCTGAGTGCAACCCACCTTTCGTGATCAGGCAAACGTAGCAGGGTAAGTCATATATCTAGGGCCGCCTGGGGCCACATTCCCAAGACCTTAGGCTCGGTACGCTCAATGCCAAAGGTCATCACTCACCATGCGTCTCCCAGTAGCGTCAGCCGCACCGTTGCTCGCGATGGCTTCCGCGGCCAACTTGACGAGCTACTCGTATGGCTCGAACGTTCTCCAGTCTTACGAGGTCTACATCCCGCCGTCCTCGGATGCGACCACGGCTTGCGACAAGCACTGGATTGTCTGGATCCACGGCGGCTTCTACCGCGACTTCACCAACAACGCCACATCCTCAATCGAACCCGTCATCGCATCACTTGAGGCCAACAACTCCGATGTTGTTGCAAACCAGATTGCTGGCATCGCCTCATTGAACTACCGTCTCTCCGCTCTCCCAGGCGTCCAGCCCAACAACACCCCGCCAAATGAGCTGCAGAATGCCAGGTGGCCCGACCACTTGAACGATGCCATTGCAGCGATCAAGGACCTTGGCAAGCGCTACCCTATTGATGGAAAGTACATCATCAGCGGTCATTCCGTCGGCGCGCAGATTTCGTTCTTCTCGATTTTGGAAACCTTGAAGGATCCTTCCATCCCTAAGCCTGCTGCTGTTTTGGGCGTTAGCGGAATCTACGACTACCCGCTCCTTCACATTAGCAATCCCGAGTACGACACCTTGGTTCTCAACGCCATGAGGGAGGACCAGCTAGTCGAGGCAAGCCCAGCCAAGGTCGATGCTGAGGAGTATGCCTTGATCGATCTCAAGGCATTTGTTGTGGCTCACAGCAGGAATGATGGGCTTGTTCCGTGGGATCAGGTGGAGGCCATTGAGGCGACGGTGGGTAGCGTGCCTGAGCTGAAGAATAAGACGACGATTGTAGAGCTGGACGGCCAACACAATGAGATTTGGAAGGGAGGTGTGCAGTTGGCGAAGGCTTTCACAGACACATTAGCGCTACTCAAGTAGGAAGAAAATCTCATCGGTTGTATTTATATCACGCAGGTTCCATCTGCAGTGAGCCGTTGAGAGCCGTTGATGATATCATGTTTTTCAGAGGCTTTCAGAGTGTTTCCCCAACCTTGAACTTATTCCAAGGAAATGAGCAACGACCTTGACGGGTTGTATTATCCTTCATGGTTCGGCAGCCCCGCACAATACTGTGAATCGGTTTTCCATAAGAATCAGAGGGTTAGGCTAATCACTGTTGAAATTGAAAGCTGCCAAAATATTTGGCCCATCGCCGATGATAATACTTTGATCATACAGAGTCAAAGACTTCTCGCCTGGTGTGATGACATTTCAGCGGTAGTTAAGTATGATTTTCGTTTCCAATGCCGCAATACACAAGACCTGTGGCAGACATTGGGACAGCGACACCCGTGCAAGTGACACAGACGAATTAATCACGGAAGAATTCATGAAAGCTGTTTGGCTTGCCGTAACACATGATGCATCAACAAGCTTCAAATTCATGAGTTCGCAAACTTAAGCCTACTCACAGCCAGATGTCCGGTATTCATACACTGTCGGTGTATCTTGGATTGAGAAGTTCTGCTTCTCGAGCGAATAGGGCACCGTAGATGACAATGAAGACGACAACCATTACTGATCATAACACAGGCGATAATCGGGACAAGAATAAGGACGATAAGCCCAGTTATTTTGGAATGGGCTGACAGAGCCTTGCCTCTCTTGGCACTCTCCGCGTGACTTTCAGAAAATTCCATGTGCATATCCGGGAATAACTTGATTGGTGTTGTTGCTTACGGGAGGTATCCCACACTGGATTATGTAACTCACATCTGCATCCTCTGGAACCAGGCTGTGGTCCTGCATTCCCCTCCCGCCGAGCTGGACACCTTATTCTGTCGAATCGTCACTCGCTCTAAATTGAAAGTTCTGCTTCGGCGCGATGGTCCGCCCCCTAAGCTCCCTCTTGAAGCATTCGAATCTACAGCGAAACTGCGCATTCGATGTTGGAGCTCAATCGCAACCTCTACACAGTGGCATGGATCGCCCCTCTCTAAATCGAGGCCAAGGCAGCCTTGCTCATGCTAGATCAGCAGCATCGTGGGCATTTTGCAGTATTCCGAGGGGATGATTACGTCTACTATGCGGGTAGCATGTGCGGACACAATGTTGTGATCGCTACACTACCCGCAGGTCAGGAGTACGGCAACGGGTCAGCAGCAGCTCTTGCTGGCCAACTGAGAAAGTCCTTCCCTAACCTCTGGTTCGGGCTTCTTGTTGGCATTGCTGCTGGGCTCCCAGATCTTACACGACAACCAAAAAGAGATATCAGACTCGGAGACGTTCTCGTTGCTCTTCCTGATGGTGACACCGCCGGACTCGTAGCCTACGACCTGGGCAAAGAAACGGGCGCTGCGGGGTTTCAGCCATTACGTCTTGGTCACGTACTGACCCACACAGCAACCATCGTCAGGTCTGCCATTGGCAAAATTAGGCTTACCGCACCTAATGACGCCGAGGTTTTTCTCCCATATTACGATGAAATCAAGGACGAGGAGCACGATGATGGCAATTTCAAGGACCCAGGTCAGGAATACGACAAACTTCATGACTTTGATCAGTTCGGTGAAGAGTACGAAGTGACTCGGCAATCTCGACCAGAATCCAAACGCACTAAAGTCTGGTATGGGCCAATAGGGTCTGGTGAACAGCTCATGAAAAACGGCCGTCAAAGAAACGAACTCAGAGATAGGTATAACATCATAGGTCTCGAGATGGAGGCAGCCGGTACTATGAACCGGATTCCGGTTGGGGTTATAAGAGGTGTTTGCGATTACGCAGATGAGCACAAGAACAAACGATGGCAGCCTTATGCCGCTGCTATGGCAGCCTCATATGCTAAGGCAGTTCTGCGAGAGATTCTTCCCGATGGACAGGACAGTATGAGTTTCGCTGATAGCGGTAAGTTGTCCGTTACTTTTTCAAAGCAAGGCTGACCGACAACAGGCATTATCGTCAAGGACAATATCCAGCAGAACCATTTCCTCAGCAAGTTCTTCGGATCGCCTTCGCCCGATACAAGCAGAAAGCGTAAGAGAAATGACGAGGAAGAATTGACTCGGAAGTTCGTTTCTCCTGTGGGTGGATCCTTGTATCACAATATCGATGAAAAAGGAAGGGTTCTCTCTGAAAATCTACAGTCTAGTAAGTGCGATCAGTTGAGGGGAAAGATTTGATCTAATTAAGAAATATCCAGTCTCCCACAGCCTTCCTATGCAACCCACGGAAGAACGAAATGAGCATTGGCCAGAGTATCAAACAGAGCGCCCCGGTTTGTCTGCAAAATATCTACAGCGCGAGGATACGCCATCTCAGCTTTTGAGCGAAAGTGATGCATAGAAAACAACTAGTAGAAGAACTCCGTAGACAGTTGTTATCTACGGGCTGTCCGGAGTGGGAAAAAGCCAAATGTGCCTCAAGGCTGTGATCGAGCACGAAAGAAGGTCTGCTCAATCTCGCGTTTGCAATGGTATATCCACTAAGACTACGTCGTCAGATTTCGAGGTGTTTTCTACATTGATGCCAGCAACACTGCCACGGCGGATAGCAATTTTGTAGACATATCTCGACTTTGCAATATCCAACATCACTGGGAAAGTGTTGAGCTCGAAGAACAAATACGCATCACAAGAGCATGGCTTTCTTGTCAAAAAGACCCGTGGATCTTGATGGTGGACAATGCAGATTTAACCGGCCTAGAGTTAAAAAAGTACATCCCTACCGGAGGCCCGGGCACAGTTCTAATCACAACAACTGACGAACATTTTGCCTTATGTGGGGATAACTTCTGTAAAATCAGTAGTATGGAAGATGTTGAAGCCTTCAACCTTTTATTACGATACAGACGACCAGAGGCTGACTCTGGCTCCGTGGAAATGGAAGCAGCAAAAACCCTCGCTACTCGAGTTCTAGGGGGGCTACCACTGGCGATAGCACAAGCCGGCTCTTACATCTTCAACAACCATTACACGTACACTGAGTACATTGAGGAATTCCGCGACTCTCCTCAGGTTTCTCTTGGGGCAGACCTTCAAGCCGAGCAGTGGGCTTCTAGACACCAACCCATCTGGACCACGTTCGGTCTCTCACTTCGCCGGATCCAGACCCTCTCTGACGACGGGGCAGCGGAAGCTGTGGAGTTACTGAAAACCTTGTGCTTCTTACATCATGAAGCAATCCATGATCGTATATTCAGCGAGGCCTGGGCAAATAAGCACGGTTTCCCCTTAATATCAAAGCATCTGCCTCCGCTAATGAGGTCAACTCATCGGTGGGATACACCTAATATTCGGGCAGCCTTCAACATTCTGTGTCGATACAGTCTGTTAAATCCCACTTCTTCAGCCAAAGGGCAATATTCAATGCACAGTCTTGTGCAGACAATTTGCAGGAATTCAATGTCTTCGGAGGAGCAGAGTCAACATTCTTTCTACGCCGTATCTCTCATAGCGACAGCTTTGGCGGGCATCCAAACTGTCACGGGCTAGAGCCCGGATTGATATCTCCGGCTTCGCCGGAGCAGTTACCGAGATCCGGCTCCGTTGGACCCACTATTCTGCCGCAGTACGCCGCCTAACCCGGTGTCAGGGCGACAGCGTGGCTACCAGCGAGTAACGGCATAACTGTCTTGATTGATTTTCTATGTTGTTGTAAAGGATAAGTGGCCAATTGGCCAGATACATCGAGATGTGCTACACTACATGAAACAGATGCAAATAAGC